CTAAGAAAACTCACAGTAGAAGAAGAGTTCTTTTAGTTCAGTAAACTATCTTTGCCAGAGTTTTACCTAAAGATACATAAGAAAGGGCATGGTAATTCTCATTGTTGTCAATGAATCATTTATCTAAATAAAAATACAACAATAAAGAAAAGAAAAATATTATGAAAAGTATTGAAGGACTTTATAAATGAAAGGAATTAAGTGAATAAGTATATTTCTAATGAAAATAACATCTAAATATATGTCTATATAACATTAATATGTAATTTTAATAATATATAAGAAAAAATTATTAATGCTCTTAAATGGGAATATTAAATAAAGGTGCTTTTAATAAAAGATAAAGCTTCTATAATGATCTGAGCTATTAAGGAGACAGATTTTACAAATGAGGAAAATGAGATACAGTAAAATCCAGTGATTTGCTATAGAACCTAGAGTTAGTTTGTGGCACAACCAGCAGGAGAAATCAAATCCAACACAATTCCTATAGTTCATGTGGCTTCAACTAACCTAAATTAAAACTAAATCTAGCAAATTTTATTTAGGGCTAATGTCCCATAAAATGACAGTGGAGATACCAGAAATGGAATTGTAACCAATTATATAGAAAACATATGCTCTACCACTGAGTTAAATTCTCTGCTGGGGGGATCTTGCAAGATGCCCAAATAGGAACAGCTCTGGTCTGCAGCTCCCAGAGAGACCAATGCAGAAGGCAGGTGATTTTTGCATTTCCAATTAAGGCATCTGGATCATCTCATTGGGACTGCTTAGACAGCAGCGAGCAGAAGCAGAGTGGGGCATCACCTCACCCAGGAAGTGCAAGGAGCCAGGGACCTCCCTCCCCTGGCCAAGGGAAGCCAAGAGGGACTGTGCTATCTGGCCCAGATACTACACTTTCCCTCGTTTTTGCAACCTGCAGACCAGGAGAGTCCTTGCCTATACCACCAGGGCCCTGGGTTTCAGGCACAAAACTGGGTGGCTGTTTGGGCAGACACTGAGCTAGCTGCAGGTGTTTTTTTTTTTTTTTTGTACCCCAATGGCACCTGAAACCCCAGAGAGACAGACCATTCACTCCCCTAAAAAGGGAGCCGAAGCCAAGGTCCCACTCCCATGGAGCCCAGCAAGCTAAGAACCACTGGCTTGAAATTCTTGTTGTCAGCACAGCAGTCTGAAGTCAACTGGACTGATTGATCGAGCTTCGTGGGGGAGAGGCATCAGCTATTACTGAGGCTTGTGTAGACAGTTTTCCCCTCACAGGGTTAAGGAAGTCACTGGGAAGTTCAGACTGGGTGGAACTCACTGCAGCATAGCAAAGTGACTGTAGCCAGACTACCTCTCCAGATTCCCCCTCACTGGGCAGGGCATCTCTTAAATAAAGGTAAGCAGCCCCAGTCAGGGCCTTATATATAAAACTGCCATCTCCCTGGGACAGAGCACCTAGGGGAAGGGGTCAGCTTCAGCAGACTGAAACATTCCTGCCTGCCGGCTCTGAAGAGAGCAGCAGATCTGCCAGCACAGTGCTCAAGTTCTGCTAAGGGACAGAATGCCCCCTCAAGTGGGTCCCTGACCCCATGCCTCCTGACTGGGAGACACCTCCATACAGGAGAGCTCTAGCTGGCATCAGGCAGGTGCCCCTCTGGGACAAAGCTTCCAGAGGAAGGAGCAGGTAGCACTCTTTGCTGTTCTGCAGCCTCTGCTGGTGATATCCAGGGAAATAGCCTCTGGAGTGGACCTCTAGCAAACTCCAGCAGACCTGCAGAAGAGGGGCCTGACTGTCAGAAGGAAAACCAGCAAACAGAAAGTAATAACATCACCATCAACAAAAAGGGCACCCCCACAAAATACCCATCCAAAGGTCATCAGCATCAAAGATCAAAGGTAGATAAATCCAAAGATAAGGAAAAGCCAGTGCAAAAATGCTGAAAATTCTAAAAACCAGGATGCCTCTTCTCCAAATGATTGCAATTCCTCTCTAGCAAGGGCATGAAACTGGATGGAGAATGAGTTTAATGAAATGACAGAAGTACGCTGCAAAAGGTTGGTAATAACAAATTTCTCTGAGCTAAAGGATCATGTCCTAATCCAAAGCAAGGAAGCTAAGAAGCTTTATAAAAGGTTACAGGAGGGAGGAGGGTGGGGAGTATATCTCATAAAAATTATTAAAAAAAAAAAAAAAAAAGGTTACAGGAAATGCTAACTAGAATAACCAGTTTACACAGAAACATAAATTACCTGATGGAGCTGAAAAACATAGCATGAGAACTTCATAAAGCATACATAAGTATCAATAGCTGAATTGATCAATTGGAAAAAAGAATACAAGAGATTGAAGATCAACTTAATGAAATAAAGCATGAAGGTAAGATTAGAGATAAAAGAATGGGTCCATTGGCAAGATGGCCAAATAGGAACAGCTCTAATCTGCAGCTCCCAGCAAGATTGACGCAGAAGGTGGGTGATTCCTGTATTTCCAACTAAGGCACCTGGTTCATCTCACTGGGACTGGTTGGACAACGGATGCCATCCATGGAGGGTGAGCTGAAGCAGCATGGGGCGTTGCCTCACCCGGGAGGCACAAGGGGTCAGGGGATTTCTCCTAGCTAAGGGAAGCTGTGAGAGACTGTACCAGGAAGAACAATGCATTCTGGCCCAGATACTGTGCTTTTCCCATGGTCTTCACAACCAGCAGACCAGGAGATCCCCTCCAGTTCCTATGCCACCAGGACCCTGGATTCCAAGCACAAAACTGGGTGGCCATTTGGGCAGGAGTTTTTTTTTTTTTTCATACCCCAGTGGCACCTGGAATGCCAGTGAGACAGAAACTTCACTCCCCTGGAAGGGCGGCTGAAGCCAGGGAGCCAAGTGGTCTGGCTTGGCAGATCCCACCCCCTTGGAGCCCAGTAAGCTAAGATCCATTGGTTTGAAATTCTCTCTGTCAGCACAGCAGTCTGAGGCTGACCTGGTATTATCAAGCTTGATGTGGGGAGGGGTGTCCGCCATTGTTGAGGCTTGAGTAGGTGGTTTTTCCCTCACAGTGTAAACAAGGCCTTCTGGAAGTTTGAACCAGGCAGAGCCCACCATAGCTCAGCAAGGCCTTTGCAGCCAAACTGCCTGTCTAGATTACTCCTCTCTGGACAAGGCATCTCTGAAAAAAAGGCAGCAGCCCTAGTCAGGGACTTATAGATAAAACCCCCATCTTCCTGGAACAGAGCACCTGGGGGAAAGGGTGGCTGTGGGTGCAGCTTCAGCAGACTTAAACGTCCCTGCCTGACAGTGCTGAAGGAAGCAGGAGATCTCCCAGCATGGCATTTGAGCTCTGATATGGGACAGACTGCCTCCTCAATTGGGTCGGTGGCCCCTGTGTATCCTGACTGGGAGACCCCTCCCAGTACAGGCCAAAAGACACCTCATACAGGAGAGCTCTGGCTGATATCTGGTGGGTGCCCCTTTGGGACAAAACTTCCAGAGGAAAGAACAGGCATCAATCTTTGCTGTTCTGTAGCCTCCACTGGTGATACCAGGCAAACAGAAGTTTGACCTCTGGGAAACTCCAGCAGACCTGCAGCAGAGGAAAACTGAAGTTAGAAGGAAAACTAACAAACAGAAAGGAATATCAACATCAACAAAAAGGACGTCCACTCAGAGACTCCATCTGAAGGTCACCAACATCAAAGACAAATGGTAGATAAATCCACGAAGATAGGGAGAAATCAGTGCAAAAAGGCTGAAAATTCCAAAAGCCAGAACACCTCTTCTCTTCCAAAGCATCAAACTCTTTGCCAGCAAGGGAACAAAACTGAACGGAGAATGAATTTGAAGAACTGACAGAAGTAGGCTTCAGAAGGTGGGTAATAACAAACTCCTCTGAGCTAAAAAAGCATGTTCTAACCCAATGAAAGGAAGCTAAGAGCCTTGAAAAAAGGTTAGATGAATTGCTAACTATAATAATCAGTTTAGAGAAGAACATAAATGACCTAATGGAGCTGAAAAACACAGCACAAGAATTTCATGAAGCATACACAAGTATCAGTAGTTGAATTGATCA